AGAGATTGGAAGGTTAACGTGTACCATGTGCATAGGGATGGGAATCACCTAGCAGACTACCTTGCCAAAGTCTCCCATAATATTGATATTTCCTTTTGGATCCTTCATCAACCTCCTCTAGTCCAAGAGGCAGAAGGTGATGAAGAAGGTTAGTCTCTGTTTGTTCTTGGTTGTTTTCTTTTGCTGTGCTGTTTTAGTCTGTATCCAGTTTTATTATTCAGGAAAAAAAAAACATATACTCCCTTTGTCTCTTACATAAACAACATAGAACTTTGTTATGTAGAATAAAAAGTTAGTTTAAAAAAATAAATTAAATTAAATTTTTTTAAATAAAATATCTTTATTTAATAGGGGAGAGAATATAAGAAAAAGAATAAGAAAATTATTATAATAGAGAGAATTATGAAAAAGAGAGAATGTGTGATGGAGAGAGATAATAAATTGGGAAATACGACAATAAATATATTGAATAGTAAAATAAATAATTAATGGGAATAAAATAAGAAATTTGCTACAAAAATTTAAGACAATATGCAAATTGAAAAGACCTCTTCTTAATATATAATTATAAAACCATTTTTAAAATGATAACCATGGTAGAAAAAGAATTGAGTTAGAGTGTTAAAATACTACCATGGTTATAAAGAGTTTGACTTATTTCGAAAACGTCCCAAGTAGCTCAGGATGCATAAAACACCCATGGGTTTAACAATGTAGAACAAAACCTCAAGGCACAGTAACCGCCCACAAGCCCAACATAATATTCATCCCACAAAGACTTAGGGCACAAGAAACACAGGGTGCTCAACCCAGCCCATAAGTCATACATCGCACACAGCAGAGTCTTATGGCCTGCAGCCATTTTAACAGTATTCCATCAAATACAGTCATCCAAACAAAAGAAAGTATATGTCAACACAGTTGTGGGCCCTAAGATGGCAATATACATAACATTACATGCCTAAACCAAAAGAGGACTACTAGGCTATGCTCGCCTATGCCTCTGGTTGCTTCCCTTCGCGCCGAGCCAAACTAGATGGCTCTCCTGAAAAGTATTGATGAACAGCGGGGTGAGACGTAAAGTCCCAGTAACCAAGTATTAATTTATGACATATACAAGTAGGATGGCAAGTTGGTGAAGTAGTGCTTAAATATAGTTTAAGAAATAAATGGTACTTTAATAGATATAATCACATAAAAAGAGTATATCTCTCCATCCACAACACAATTCATATAAAAGTACATATATGCAACAACACAATGAAATATGCCCTCCCATCACCTTGCTCCTCCTTATGACTCCTTGACAAGGACCCGGGCTTTCTGTGCTGAGTAACCCGGCCAAAGGTCACCCCACTCACATCAAGCAACGGGCCCCCTCCTGTACCTACACCGCCCAAGAATGGACTATGGTGCAAGAGGTGTCTACCCAAGAGTTCATTCTCAATTCCGGGCCAAGGAAAAGGAAGAACTACAGGGGTCTAACAATAAGGCCAAACACTGGGATCCGTAGTGTAGGCATGCCGCGCGGGCTTCAAGAACAATTATCCTCCACATAACAAAATCCCATCCTCCACATATGAACCCCATGCATAGTCACAATATAAATCAAAATATCACAATCTTCAAAGTAAGATGATATAATTTCAAACAAAGTATAACACATTTTCATTTCATTTAATAACATAATATTAGTATATTAAATTCAGTACTACACGAAAACACAATTTCCAATAAAACACAACTCAAACATAATTAGATCAACATACTTCCCACTTCACCAAAATTTGTCATATAATAAAATATATTTTATTCACAGGCATACTTTTACAAATTAACTAAGAAAATAAAAACATAATAAACACCTTACAATCCAAAGCGTGTATATAAAATAAATTAACCCCGGTTACCTCTACTCCAAGCTTAACCTCACAGCTTGAGAAATAAGAGCGCAAATTACAAACTCCGAAGTACAAGATAATCTACAAATAATATAGATACAATTTAATATACATACAAATAATTAACTTAAATTACATAGAATTTATTATTAATAATATCTATACATATATTTACTATCCAAAAATTCTTACTTCCAATAACAATTTTTCTCTACCCAAATAACTCATTTAAATTATAAATATTTATAAAATATTGTTTTTATCTAATATTGTAAGAATATCAATTTATAACTTAAGTTTCCAGTTTCAAAATTTTCTAATAATATAGTCTTAACCTATTTTACATTTTAAACCGATTAAAATATCAATAATATATTAAGTAACCCAAATAAGTTATTTAACTTAAATTTAATCGGTAAAAACATTCTATATATCTTGAATAATACATTTTTCAACTAAAATCTTAGTTTAAAATTCTCAAAACAATCAATAAACAACTATAAACCGATTAAAATTTCAATAATATATCAAACAACCCAAATAAATTATTTAACTTAATTTTAATCGGTATAAATATGATATATATCATAAGTGACAGATTTTTCAACAAAATAAATTTGTTTTTAAATATCATAGGTAATAAATGGACAAATCTAAACCGATTAAAATTTCTTAATAATAAATCTTTAAATTTCTACGGTCAAATATTTTCAAAACTCAATACTTACTCTATACCCAGATCACAAAATTTTCTCTAAACATTATAATGATACTACTAATATAAAGCTCTAAATATATAGGAAATATTCATAAGGAAAAATTTAATAGAAAGAAGTGTTTAATGTACCTATATGATCCCCAAAGCTTGTATGACTCTTCAAACTGCTAACACTTCTCTTCTTTTCTCTCAATCTCTCCTTCTGCGCATCTCACTCTTTCTCTCCATTCTTTGCGATCACTCTCTTTTTATTCTTCAAATTGCCAACCGTCCTTCCTCAATTTTTCTTCATTCATTAATGCTCCTCCCCATTTTTCCTTCTTCAGTCAAACTCCCCCCCTAAATTCCTCTTCCTCTTCAATACGTTCAGCTTTCGGTGGAAAGCTGAACGTGTTGTCCCCTTCCCCCTTTTTTTTTTTTGTTTTAATAAAATATTATTATTTAATAGTAATAAAATATTATTAATATATTTTTTTTTTTTTTTTTGTTTGTTTTTTTTTTTTTTTGGAATGTTACAGCTCTCCCCACCTAAATAAATTTTGCCCCCAAAATTCGCGACACATATAAAAATATATATATATATAACACCACAATTCAACATTGAAAAACAGATAATAACACCACATACATACTATTATCACATAAGATAGTACACAACACACATGAACACATACTTAAGAAAACAGATTTGGATAATCACGCCGCATTCGCTCCTCAGTTTCCCAAGTGGCATCACCAGGAGACATGCCTTTCCAGAAAACCTTAAGTAACCGGATTGTTTTATTCGGAGTTGCTTATCCTTGACATCTAGAATGCGTTCAGGCTCAGCTCGAAAGGTGAGATTCTCCTGTAACTCGATCTCCTCAGGCTCGATCACATGAGATGGATCTGGATGATACTTCTTGAGTTGTGACACATGAAAGACATTGTGCACATTAGAGAGATGCGGTGGTAAAGCAATTCGATAAGCGACCGGCCCAATTCGCTCCAAAATCTCGTAAGGTCCAAGATATCGAGGAGTCAGTTTCTTGGCCTTGATGGATCTACCAATGCCAGTCACTGGTGAAACTTTCAAAAATACATGGTCACCCACTTCAAATTCCAAAGGCCTCCGTCGTCTATCTGCATAACTCTTCTGGCGACTCTGAGCGGTCATTAACCTCTGTTTGATTAATTCAATTTTCTTTGTAGTTGCATCCACAAAGTCAGGTCCAACAATGGTTCTTTCACTCAATTCAGTCCAACACAGTGGTGATCGACACTTTCTTCCATACAATGCTTCGTAAGGTGCCATCTGGATGCTTGTATGATAACTATTGTTGTAGGCAAATTCTGCTAATGGAAGATGGCGATCCCAGCTACCTGGAAGTTCAATTGCACAAGCTCTCAACATGTCCTCGAGAGTTTGGATGGTCCTCTCAGTTTGACCATCAGTTTGGGGATGATACGCCGTACTGAACTTCAACTTTGTGCCAAAAGCTCCTTGCATCGCCTTCCAAAAGTTCGAGGTGAACCTTGGATCTCGGTCTGATATGATATCTTTTGGTATCCCATGCAATCTCACAATCTCATCTACATACAATTGAGCAAGTTTTTCCATAGAATAAGTAGACTTGATTGGGAGAAAGTGGGCTGACTTTGTTAGTCTATCTACAATGACCCAGATTGCATCATAACCAGCTGGAGTTCTAGGCAAACCCGTGATAAAGTCCATTGAAATGCTATCCCATTTCCACTTAGGGATTTCCAAGTTTGGATTAAACCCGATGGCTTTTGATGTTCAATTTTGACTTTTGACAAGTCAAGCACTTGAGTACAAAATTAGTCACATCACGCTTCATCCCTGGCCACCAATACTCTTGCTTCAAATCATGGTACATCTTGGTTATTCCAGGGTGAATGGTGTACTTAGTTCTATGTGCCTCCTCAAGAATTATCTTTTTCATTTCTTCATTATCTGGAACACAAATTCTTCTCTTGTACCTTAAGATTCCTTCATCTCCAATGTCATAATCCGATACTACACCATTTTCTACTTCTTCTCTTGTCCTCATTAATTCCTCATCCTCCATTTGGGCTATCTTCAACTCTTTAAAGAAGTCATAGTCCCCAAGTACTGCATTTAGAGTAACAGTCGTCTCTGTCATCTTACCCATAATTGGTATTTCAGTTAACTCCTCCAGCAAGTGATGCTCTGTTACACTCATGTAGAAGACATGCGCGGTTTTTCTACTTAATGCATCAGCCACCACATTAGCCTTCCCTGGATGGTACTTCAACTCAAAATCATAATCGCTAAGAATTCCATCCATCTTCGCTGACGATTATTTAATTCTTTCTGGTCTACCAGGTACTTTAAACTTTTATGGTCACTGAAAATCTCAAATTGCGCTCCATAAAGATAGTGTCTCCAAATCTTTAAGGCAAACACAATTGCTGCTAGTTCCAAGTCATGGGTGGGGTAATTCTCTTCGTGAGGTCTTAATTGTCTCGATGCATAAGCTACTACCTTATTATCTTGCATTAATACACAGCCCAAACCTTTCAAAGATGCATCTGTGTACACTGTATACGGTCTTGATGGTTCAGGTATGGTGAGGACAGGTGCCGTGGTCAACCTTCTTTTCAGCTCTTGAAATGCAGCTTCACACTTTTCTGTCCATACAAAGGGTTTGTCCTTCTTTGTCAAGTTAGTTAATGGCATAGCTATCTGAAAAAAGCCTTTAATGAAACGACGGTAATACCCGGCTAACCCCACAAAGCTCCTTACTTCAGTCACAGACTTGGGAGTCTCCCATTTCAACACTGCCTCTACTTTACTCGGATCCACGGCCACACCTTTGGCAGATACCACATGACCTAAAAACTTTACCTCCTTTAACCAAAACTCACATTTGCTCAGTTTGGCATACAACTTGTTCTCTCTTAATATTTGTAATACAATGCGAAGGTGTTTACGATGCTCCTCTTCACTCTTGGAGTATATGAGGATATCATCAATGAAGACTACAACAAATTGATCCAAGTAAGGCCTGAAGATTCTATTCATATAGTCCATAAACACTGCTGGAGCGTTTGTTAATCCAAAAGGCATCACCAGAAACTCGTAGTGACCATAACGAGTTCGAAAAGCGGTCTTGGGAATGTCTTCAGACCTGACCCTTAACTGATGATAGCCGGATCTCAAATCAATTTTGGAGAACACAGAAGAACCGACAAGCTGGTCAAGCAAGTCATCAATTCTCGGAAGGGGATATTTGTTCTTAATTGTGACCTTATTCAATTGACGATAATCTATGCACAACCTCAAACTGCCATCTTTCTTTTTCACAAACAACACGGGTGAACCCCATGGAGAAACACTCGGTCTAATAAAACCTTTTTCTAACAGATCCTCAATCTGTTTCTTTAATTCTGCTAACTCAGAGGGTGACATTCTATACGGGGCTTTAGAGATAGGTTCGGTTCCTGGAGCTAATTCAATGGAAAACTCCACCTCCCGTACTGGAGGTAACCCAGATATTTCTTCAGGGAACACATTGGGAAACTCACTTACTACTTTAATTTGGTCTATATTCCCCTCCTTTTCAGCTTGTATAGAGAAAAAGACAACAAAAGCCTGGCACCCCTTCTTAACACATTGCACTACTTGAGCTGCTGACAACAAAACAGGAACATCTGGTACATCTACAGATGTTGAGATTGAGTGCAACATAACAGACTTCTTCTTGCAATCTAAGGTAGCTCTATTAGCTGACAACCAATCCATACCCACAATAATATCTATGCCTCGAAGGGGCAAACAAATCAAGTCAATGGTCGTTTCCCGACCCTTAAATACAAAGGTCAAACCTTTGCAAACTTTAACAGTTCTCACGGTTGCTCCCGCCGGAGTAGTCACACACAGAACATAAGACAAATCATCCATACATAGTCTTAATCTTTCAACACAATCAAAGGACACGAAAGAGTGGGTTGCCCCTGAGTCAAACATAGCACACAAGGGATGATTTTGTAAGAGTACATTACCTCGAATCAAGTTAGGTGAAGCACCCGCCTCTTCAGAAGTCATGGCGAACACACGCCCTGGTACAGATGACCTAGGGGTCTGGTTGTTTCTCTTAGCCTTGTTGCAATACTTAGCTAAGTGTCCCGGCTCTCCACAATTAAAGCAAATCCAGCACTCTCCGAAGTGTTGCCTCCCACATCTAGGACAAGCGAGATGGTTAGTCACACTAGGAGTAGATGCTACAGAGCCACGCTGGGAAATTTGACTCCCTCCTCCTTGACTTCTCTGGGTCTGAGCGCCGTGGAAACGGTTCCTCTGCTGAGAGTTTCCTTGATAGGATTGTTTTCTGTTGCCAAAACTACTAGCACCTGATTGGCTAGTTTTCTTCCCCACTCCACCAGTGGGTCCCGTATAGCCACTAAATCGTCCTCCAGATCCTGAGGCACCGGTTTGGCGGCTAAAGCGCCCAAGGTTGTCTCTTCTACGATACTCATCAGCTTCTCTCATCCTCCGTGCAACTTGACGGATATGAGTACACATCTTTTCAAAGGTAGTGACCTCTACTGTGGCCAATTGTTGCTTAATCTCTGGTCTGGCTTTCTCCATTAACTGAACAGCCATCCACCAAGTGTTTCGATAACGATCTAGGTATGCCACATACTTGGATAGATCTATGAATTGGCCAATAAATTGATCCTCATGCATGTTTCCCTGTTGCAGGGCATAGAACTCCGCTTCCTTCTGTTGTCTGACCTCCATTGGAAAGAAGTAATCAAAGAACAAATCCTTGAATTGATTCCAAACCATCCTTCTATCATCCATGGGTCTCACACTATCCCACCATTGCTTTGCCCTTCCTTCTAACAGAACCTTGGCAACCTGCACCTTTTGCTGGGAACTACAATTCACCGTACTAAACAGGGTCTCCAATCGGTCTATCCAAGCCTCTGCTTCTACAGAATTCAGACTACCCTTAAAAGTTGGAGGGTTGAAGCGGCCTATATACTTCCAGACTGTTGTTATAGGAATGTCTGGTAACACCTCAGCAACCTCTTCTTCATTTACTGTTTCCTGCTCATTTGACTGTCCCCCATTATGTCCAATACTATCACCATCATGATGACCTTCCATCTCTGGAGAGATTTCAGCTTCCTTGTTCCTTCGATTATCTTCCATTTTTCTAACCCGCTCGTCAAGGGAAAGAATTACAGCTTGTAATTGTCTTAAGATCTCATCATTAGTCTGATTAGCTTGACTATTGCCATTAGGTGGCTGGCGACTTCCCTCACCAGCATCAACAGTACGCCTGGTACTTACCATCTCTCCCCACCTAAGGGTAGAACCCCACAAAAAGAAAGGTAAACACTTAAGAAAGGAGAAAAGAGGAGAAATTGAAGGGAAGCATAAGTGTAATGATTGTATATTGCCATAGATACTATATGAAATGCACCAGGGATCACACAAAACCTTGAAACTGATACCAAGTTGAAAAGACCTCTTCTTAATATATAATTATAAAACCATTTTTAAAATGATAACCATGGTAGAAAAAGAATTGAGTTAGAGTGTTAAAATACTACCATGGTTATAAAGAGTTTGACTTATTTCGAAAACGTCCCAAGTAGCTCAGGATGCATAAAACACCCATGGGTTTAACAATGTAGAACAAAACCTCAAGGCACAGTAACCGCCCACAAGCCCAACATAATATTCATCCCACAAAGACTTAGGGCACAAGAAACACAGGGTGCTCAACCCAGCCCATAAGTCATACATCGCACACAGCAGAGTCTTATGGCCTGCAGCCATTTTAACAGTATTCCATCAAATACAGTCATCCAAACAAAAGAAAGTATATGTCAACACAGTTGTGGGCCCTAAGATGGCAATATACATAACATTACATGCCTAAACCAAAAGAGGACTACTAGGCTATGCTCGCCTATGCCTCTGGTTGCTTCCCTTCGCGCCGAGCCAAACTAGATGGCTCTCCTGAAAAGTATTGATGAACAGCGGGGTGAGACGTAAAGTCCCAGTAACCAAGTATTAATTTATGACATATACAAGTAGGATGGCAAGTTGGTGAAGTAGTGCTTAAATATAGTTTAAGAAATAAATGGTACTTTAATAGATATAATCACATAAAAAGAGTATATCTCTCCATCCACAACACAATTCATATAAAAGTACATATATGCAACAACACAATGAAATATGCCCTCCCATCACCTTGCTCCTCCTTATGACTCCTTGACAAGGACCGGGCTTTCTGTGCTGAGTAACCCGGCCAAAGGTCACCCCACTCACATCAAGCAACGGGCCCCCTCCTGTACCTACACCGCCCAAGAATGGACTATGGTGCAAGAGGTGTCTACCCAAGAGTTCATTCTCAATTCCGGGCCAAGGAAAAGGAAGAACTACAGGGGTCTAACAATAAGGCCAAACACTGGGATCCGTAGTGTAGGCATGCCGCGCGGGCTTCAAGAACAATTATCCTCCACATAACAAAATCCCATCCTCCACATATGAACCCCATGCATAGTCACAATATAAATCAAAATATCACAATCTTCAAAGTAAGATGATATAATTTCAAACAAAGTATAACACATTTTCATTTCATTTAATAACATAATATTAGTATATTAAATTCAGTACTACACGAAAACACAATTTCCAATAAAACACAACTCAAACATAATTAGATCAACATACTTCCCACTTCACCAAAATTTGTCATATAATAAAATATATTTTATTCACAGGCATACTTTTACAAATTAACTAAGAAAATAAAAACATAATAAACACCTTACAATCCAAAGCGTGTATATAAAATAAATTAACCCCGGTTACCTCTACTCCAAGCTTAACCTCACAGCTTGAGAAATAAGAGCGCAAATTACAAACTCCGAAGTACAAGATAATCTACAAATAATATAGATACAATTTAATATACATACAAATAATTAACTTAAATTACATAGAATTTATTATTAATAATATCTATACTTATATTTACTATCCAAAATTCTTACTTCAAATAACAATTTTTCTCTACCCAAATAACTCATTTAAATTATAAATATTTATAAAATATTGTTTTTATCTAATATTGTAAGAATATCAATTTATAACTTAAGTTTCCAGTTTCAAAATTTTCTAATAATATAGTCTTAACCTATTTTACATTTTAAACCGATTAAAATATCAATAATATATTAAGTAACCCAAATAAGTTATTTAACTTAAATTTAATCGGTAAAAACATTCTATATATCTTGAATAATACATTTTTCAACTAAAATCTTAGTTTAAAATTCTCAAAACAATCAATAAACAACTATAAACCGATTAAAATTTCAATAATATATCAAACAACCCAATAAATTATTTAACTTAATTTTAATCGGTATAAATATGATATATATCATAAGTGACAGATTTTTCAACAAATAAATGTTTTTAAATATCATAGGTAATAAATGACAAATCTAAACCGATTAAAATTTCTTAATAATAAATCTTTAAATTTCTACGGTCAAATATTTTCAAAACTCAATACTTACTCTATACCCAGATCACAAAATTTTCTCTAAACATTATAATGATACTACTAATATAAAGCTCTAAATATATAGGAAATATTCATAAGGAAAAATTTAATAGAAAGAAGTGTTAATGTACCTATATGATCCCCAAAGCTTGTATGACTCTTCAAATGCTAACACTTCTCTTCTTTTCTCTCAATCTCTCCTTCTGCGCATCTCACTCTTTCTCTCCATTCTTTGCGATCACTCTCTTTTTTTCTTCAAATTGCCAACCGTCCTTCCTCAATTTTTCTTCATTCATTAATGCTCTCCCATTTTTCCTTCTTCAGTCAAAACTCCCCCCAAATTCCTCTTCCTCTTCAATACGTTCAGCTTTCGGTGGAA